TTTAAATAAATTATTTATGAGCAATATCCCATAACCATAACATCCCCAATAAGCACCATTAGCACCATAAGCACCATAACCATATTATGGATAACCCACTTATGCTTAACCCAGTTATGCTTAACCATATGGTGCTCCTCTTTCACCATTGAGATATTCCTATGCTCCTCCTGTTGTTTAATAGGTTGTCCCTTAAACCTATGTACCTCAACAAGTTGTTGCTCAACCAGTCATTGCTCAATAAGTTGTTGCTTAACCAGTTGTTGCTCAATCTGTTGTTGCTTAACCAACAATCAAAGGTGAGAGCAGAATTGAATATGTTCCATATGAGAAAACTGTACTTGAATATGAAGAAGTAAGATAAAGAATCTAAGTGCCAAAAGAGAAATATGTTACTGATTATTACGCAGTTGAATATCAAACAGAATATGTACCATAAGTCTTCTAAGAAAAATTTACAGGTATGACATTTAAAAATTTAAATTTCCAGAATATGTTCCTGTAGATAGATATCAAGAAAGAGTTGAGTATTATCCAGTTGAGAGATAAGTTGTTCATCAACAACAAGTCTAATAAGTTGTTGCCTAACCAGTCTAATAAGTTGTTACTCAATCAGTCGTTCAACCAGTCTAATATGCTCCATAACCAGTCCAATATGTTCAACAACCAGTTTAATATGCTCCATAACCAGTCCAATATGCTCCATAAACAGTCCAATATGCTCCATAAACAGTTTAATATGCCCCAGCTCCACTTTAATAAACAACCTATGTTCCTCCTCCAGTTGCTAGTCTTCCATTAGCCTAGACCTAAGTACCAACCAGAACAGTCCCATAAGCTAGACCCCAATAACCATTAGACAAAACTTAGGTATAAGATTATAATTAAATGTAGGCTTAAAATCCAAGACAAAACCCACAACCAACCCAATAGCCACAATAGAAATAAAAGAGCTTTTTAGACAGACTCTTTGATAGAGATTGATTATCATAATCGTTTATATAACATATAAGCCATATTTTTGTTTAATTTATAGATGATCTGATCTTCTTTTAAAAAAAAAGTAAAATTTTAAATTTTTTTTTTTTTTTTTTATTCATTTTTTTTTAAGTTCCAGATTAATAAACATAATCTTTCATTTATTATTCGTCATTATTAATTGCTCCTTGTGATTTTCTATATACTTAACTTTATATTGAATTTCTACTACATAAACTACTATATCCATTTCCAAATCTGTTAAAATTTAAAATCTCTTAAATATCTTGGTAAACTTTTCTTTTTTTTCTAAAATAAAGTTAAAATGTTGATTAAGAAGAAGAGAGGAAATAAAGTTAATTGTTTGATATAAATAGATTTAACAAATTTTTATGTTATTTCTTATTAATTGAATCTTTAAATTCTCCTTATTACTCTCCATTATAAATTTAAAAACACTATTATAATTTTATAGTACTCTTACGAATAATTAATTCAAGTATTCTTAATATAAATTGAAAAATCAATAAACCATCTTAGAATTTTAATTTTATATTTATCAATTTACAAAAATATTATTTATAATTTACATATTTCCTAATTTTTTTAATAGTTATTTATTATTAAATTATTATTAAATTTTATAATACCTCTAATATTTATCATACATTTATTATGAATTTTTTATTATTCTTGTGTATATTAATATATAATTTATATTTTAATATTGAATCATTAAGTTTAATTATAAATAAATATTATACTATCAATTTCCATTCAAGCTCCATTTTCTCTCATTAAAATAACTTCTTAAAGTCTCTTTTTATATTATTCAAATGAAATGAATTGTTCTTCTATTGGAACATAATCAGATTCAAATAATAATGGACTGAATATTTCCTCAAGATCTTCTTGAATATTTTCTAACATTGTCTATTTTTATATAATAATTATTATTACTTCATATAAATTTTATCTTTCTCTTTAATAGAGTCCCTTTTTATTTAAATCTTTAATTAATCTACAAATTGACCAACTTCTATTTGAAATATGATAAAAGGTCATAACATGATAGAAACCTGTTTTCATTCTCTGTTAAGTTTTTACAAGAGTTTCTGAAATTTCTAAATTTCCCTATGCTACTTTGAGTAGAATTTTGAAAAATTATATATATTACTTATATTTCCATACATATCTTCTTAAATCATCTAAATAATCAAAATCAAATTATTATAAAGGTTTGATTTTTTTAACAAAAGAACATTAAGATTCTCTTTCTGGAATATCTGTTGCTTTGATAATATAAGCTAAATTAGGATAAGTCATTTTATATCCTAATTTAGTTGTAATGATACCAGAGACTTAAATTCCTTCTGTTTAATGTTATTTAATTATAATTTATGATGATGAATTCATTTATTTTTTATTAGTTTATTACTATTATTTATTTTAATCTTCATTCTTTTATTATTATGATTATTAAAACCAAATGTTGAGTGCTTTTTACATAGATTTGAATTCTTATGTTTTTTTAATTCTTTCTGCAATATTCTTTTCAATAATCTTTTATTTAATGGCATCTAAATTTTAATTGATATAGAATGTATTTTCTTGGAAATATTTGGGATCATAATTTAAATCAGTTTCAACTCTTATATTTTGAATAGTATTAACACATCTCATTTCTGCTTTTTGATTATTAAGTTTGAGTTTCTTTTTAATTTAATCTAAAAAAAGATCATTATCTTTTTTATCAAAATGATGTCTCAATTTAAATTCTGAAATATTGATTTAATCATTATTATTCTTAAATTTTCCAATAAATGCTTATTCTAAACCATCTCTAAGTATGTCCTTCAATATTGCAGCTTAAGGATTATATTTAGGATAATATTGACTTAAAATTTCTTCTGTCATTTTTATATTTATTAAAATTAATTATATAATATAAAATATATCACATCATTTTATTCAATGAATTCCTTTTTTTAAAATAGATCAAACGGATAATGAATACTATTGTACTAATATTTACACATATTAATAAAATTTATTAAATTTTCCTTTTGATTTAGAAAGTCGCCATGTAAATAACAAATCCAACTTCTAAAGCAATTTAAACAAATTTGGAACCAAATAATTCAGAAAATTAAAATATTGAGTTCATTTGTCAAGAATTAAAAAATATTTGCACTGTTTCTTATCAACTTATCTATCCTAAAATCTCATAGAAACCCATTAAAAAGAAGAAAATAATAAAAAAAAAGAATAAAAATGACATTTCTAAATAAGAAATAGGAGAGGAGTAAAATAATTAGTCTATTACCAATTGTTTACTTGATACCTAAGAAGAATTAAAATGTAAGATAGTCCTCATAGATGATCTTTAACAAAAATTACTGTTCTTAAAAATGATGATATCCAAAATGTGAATTACATTATATCAATATTTGTAATACATCATTGTAAATATAAGTATTATTACATTAATATTATTTTGGCCCATCTTATTTCTTTTTAGCTTAACTTGAGAGATGGCATCATTTGAAATTGCTTCAATTAAAGCTCGTTTAGAATTATATAGAAAAATCTTCTCAAACCACAAAATAAAATGAATTAACTGATTTGGATTACTTTTCGTTTTAATTATTCATTAAAAAATAAATCTCGAAATCAAGTAAAATTAAAGTAAATATAAGTTAATTTTTATGTTAAACATTTGAAATTACACACTAAAAATACTAATATCAGCATCTCTACAATCCAATTTACTAAAACGACTAAAGTTACAAAATATTCATATATATATATATTTAATTCTTTAAATAAAATAATTTAAAATCAATTAATTCAATTTATACATATATGTTTTTGATTAATATTATCTAAATATTTATTAGGAGTTAAAAATATTAAATATGAAAGAATTCTAAATTAAATTATCTCACATATTACAATTTTAAACAAATTATAATCAAAAATTGAGAAATTATAAATATGGGAATTAGATCCTTTCCATCATATATATTCTTAATTGTAATTATTAATATTATCATTAAGATAATTGTATATATTTGAAAATTTTTATTTCTTAATTTAATTTATATTAGGTCATTAAAATTTTGATTAACTTTGAATGAATTAAACAAGATAATAAATCAAAAATAATTAAATAGTGATGATAATAAAAAATTATGTGATAAAAAGAGATAGTTGCTCTTATGAAAACAAATAATAAATTAGTTTCTTAAAACTTAAAATAATTATACGTTTTAATGAATACTTAATTAAAAAATAGAAAAAAAGAAATCAAAATAGACTATTAGATTTCATCTTAAATATATTAAATTTATTAATATACCTCATCATATTTAGATAATTTATAAAAATAATAATAAATAGATTTGTATCATTTCTAATAAAAATATTTATCACTCATTAGTAAATCTTAGGATAATCTCTTTTTATAATATCATTATATGATGATATTATAAAACGCTATTATTAATTTAATGATTTAAACTAATTAATAATTATAATTAGAATCCCTTCTAATGATCATATAGAAAAATACTTTTATCTAAATTAAATAAATTATATACAATAATTACCAATCATTTCAAACTATTATCAAAGTAATTAAGTACTAAAATAAATAAATTAGAAAGCAAATATTTACTCTTTAAATTTCTATTTCTGAAATTATATTGTATTACTTTGACCATTAATATTCATATGAATTTGGAAGAATGTGATGGTTTTAATTCATCTTATAATAAAAAAATAAATAAATAAATGGGATCATTCTGCCCAAGTTCAAACATCAAAGTAATTCCGTCACCTGTGATACAAGAAGAGATTATTGACCCTTAAGTAGAAATTGATACTCTAATTAATTAAGAAACCAATTACAAACTTAGTTTAATTCATAATTTCTCTGTAGAGAATCCCTCGTTATAAACATGTGATGAAGTAATCTTAGAAATCCTCTCAATATCAATTTCATTTATGGTTAAGGATTTTTCTGAATAATCAAACTTTCTTAAAATACAAATATAAAAGCAAGTCTAAGACTTAATTGATCATAAAGTTGATTTTCAGGAAGATCTTTTAAAAATGCTTATAAATTATTATGATTTTCTAAGTTATGTTTAGGAGAATGGAAAAGCAAAAGTTATTTCTTGGTGGAAAGATCCTGTTGGTGTAGTTGAAATAGAATAAGCATTAAAGCATTGGACTCAAGAATTTATAAAGTATGGAGGTAAATTGAGAAGAGAGAAAGCTTTTAGAAAACTTATTAGTGATCCTAAACCTCCAGAACGGTTTGTAAAGACAAGAGAATGGATTAAAAAACAATTAGAAGGTAATGAGGAAGAATTAAAGCCAAAAAGAGAAAAAGTAGAAACATATAACAACTTTGAAGAAGGTTTTGAAGAATAATGATGCTATTTAGGATATGTTTATTTATATCTATTGATTTTAGATAAAATATAATAATTATTTTAAATATAAAAAACAGTTTATATCAAACTTTGTTTAAGTTGATGTTCATTAGATATGGAATTCAATTAAGTTTAATTATATTATTTTAATAATAATAAAGAAATATCTACAATAAGATAATTAATAATATATTCATTTAATTATATAATTATATCTCATGTTCTTATATATGTTATTGTATGAAATCTAAGAATGATAATAATGAATTAAATAATAATAATAATAAATTAAATAATAAAAAGACATATAACTTTAAATTCAATAAAAGAATATATTTTAATTAATATAATATATAAAAATGGCTATCAATAATGGTATGGTTGTTCACTTTAGAGTTAACTGTGAATTTGTATTTAAAGGGTATTGATAATGATAAGCATAAGATGGTCCACAACTGCTGATGAAACAGGATTGTTTTTCTTTGGATGTCTTATTGTAATGTTTTATTGTATGCTTCATATGAATTTATACACTGTAAAGTTAATTTTACCAAAAAAGTAAGACACTTTTATATATTAAAAGTTTGATTGTTGATATCTGTTGGTATTTAATTTATGCACTTTCAGGAATTATGGTTATGTAATTAATTATGACAATGAATGGATGGGTCAATGTAGCTGTTATTATAGGATGCACAATAGGATATTCAATATAAGAATCTTGGTCATAAATTTATGAAAAAGAAAATCAAGCACCTCCAGGTGGATGTGAATTTTGTAATTGAGATCATTCATATTTTATAATGATGTATTGAAAATATTATAATTTAAATTAATTATAATAATGTGCATATAAATAATTGATTATTTAATTTAATAATAAAGAGTATAGATCATCATTTATAGTTGAATATAAATAATAATTATTAATTAATTTACATTTTTTATTAAGTTTAAATTCATTATCAACTCATTTATGTCTTTTTTTTGATTTTTCTCTTCTTTTTTATTTTTTAATTGGACTTTCCTCTCTCTTCTTATGCTTTTTAACAGATTTAGATCTAGATCTCTCTCTAGGTTTCTTAGTTGGTTTTACTTCTTCTAAGAATAATTATATAAATTAAATATACCTTTTTTCGATTTTCTTCTTTTGTCTTCTTCATCTTTTTCTACATGTTCTTCTTTAGGTTTTTTAGACAATTCTTCACTTCTTGATCTTCTCAATTCTCCAAGACCACCACCAAGTCGACGGGGTCTCCATTTTAGAATTGTTCTACCTCTTTCGATGTCAACTACTAACTTTCTTCCATCAATACGTTTATCTACTGCATATTTATATGCTTATTTAACACTGTTCTTGCTCTCATACTCTTTTAATTTAAGATCACCCCCTTACCAATGAATGCATAGCCTCTAGGCTTATCTTATGTAGAATCACGTATGATTCTTATTGATTTGATTGGTCCATATTCTTCAAATTCTTTACGTAATTTTTTATCAGTTGTTGCATAATTCAATCTGCCCACAAATAATGTTTTATAAGGTTCAGATATGATATTAGGATCTTCAAATGGATTCCATAATTAAAGTAGCTTCTTTAATTCTTCATTGTGAAGATGCTTCTTTTCTAATCTCTTTATTATTTTAATTGGTAATCTCGAAGGTTTAACAATATCTTTATTAATATAAATACAAAATTACCCTTTTCTCTTTCTTCTCTTTACATTTACTCGTATTCATCCTCAAATTTATCAAGCATCCACTCAGCCTTTCTACCTAAACCTAATATTGGGTCATAAGGTCTGCATTTTGGTTTTGGCTAAGATTTGATATGAGCAATTTAAGGAATTACGAAAATGGGTTACATCTAAATATATTCATAATATCATACATCAGGTGGGAAATCAGGTTTTCTGATATTAGTTGCCTATTGCATTTAAACTGGGTTATTCATCATATGTGCAAGTGGCATCATAGGAGGTTATGATTGATAATACATATTTAATAAATTTATATATATATATATATAATTAATTTGAAATAATTATTCTAAGTATTTAATTATATCTCATTACTATAATCAATAATAAGAAATTTATTAAGTTTAAGATTACTATTGATTATTTCGTAAACTTTATGTAATTGAATAAAAAAACACTAATATTTTATGTTTTATGACTGTTAGTTTAATAATTGTGATTGCATTAATTTTTATATTAATAATTCGTTAACTCATGATCAATGAATAAATGTTTCAAGAACTCAAAAACTCAAACTTTAAATCCATTATTGATAATTGTGTTTATTTAAAGAAAATATCAAATACACTATATGGAGATGCAGAAATTTTGATTCATAAGACCTATAATATTCAATTGGTTCTAATTACAAAGATATTCCATAGAAAAGAAGATGTTAAGAAATTATAGGAAGAAACATCTTTAAGACTTAATCTGATTTCAGAAAGAATACTTCGTTTAATTTCGTATAATAGTAATATCAATTATTTAAACTAGTAAAGGAAGTCAAAGAATTATGTGGTAGTTTCTATAGAATCTAATGGATATATGAATTTCATTCACACACACTTTAAGACAATATCTAATATAGAAAAAAGAAAGACCTCTCTTTTACTGAAAATGAAATCATTAATCTTTTAGATACTATACTATAAGGATTTCAAATTTTTAAATCTGTCTCCATACGGCATGGTTATTTATAACCTAAACATATTATTCAAAATACTAAATCCCAAAACTTTTGCATTTCTGATATTAAATTTATTACTAAAATGACTGAATATTAAGAAGCTTTACAAAATATAGACTCTGTTCAATAATGTTACTTATCTCCTGAATTATTAAAGGAATTACAAAAAGGTTCTTAAGAGAATTCAAGTTATGAAAAAAATGAGATATTTTCTATTGGTTTAATTCTTTTGAATTGTATGTTGCTTGATTATCCAGAAATTTACGATCTACCTAATTTTG